TTTTTCTCCTTCAAAGATAAATTAAAAAGATAAATGATTTTTATCGATCATCATTACCTATAATTGACAAGTTAGTAACGGTCATGTGTAGAGTCATTGAAGCGAGGAAAAGTTGGAAAAAAGCAACATGAGAGTGCACGACGAAACAAATTCAAGTTGCTAAGCAAGTAGTAGATATGGGACCAAACGGCAACAAGAGAAAATTTGATAGTAAAAACCAAAATTATTTCTGTTTATTGTGGGTGAGTGTGTGAGTGTTGGTGTCGGAGCGGGTGTGTGGGTATAGGTGAGATTGTGGGTGTGGGTGTGTAGGGTGTGGTAAGTGGGTACGAGTGTGAGGGTAATAGAGGAAGAGAAACGCCTACACCCACACCCCACCACACACCTACACCCACACCCACACCCACACCCACACCCACCCACACCCACACCCTGGTTGTCACGAAATCGAAATACGTTGATTGAGCTACGAAGACAATAACGAAGGACATATGTCATTTGGAAATTTTCTATGAACTAAGTGAATAGGATTTCGAAATGATAGAAATTCAAAATTTCATATTTATTTAAGAAAAATCTAGGCCTAAAAAGACAGTTTATAAAATTATCTCACTTATAATTGAAGTTTTTACTCAAAAAATTCTATAAAAATAATAAGGTATTATATGAATATTGAAAGATAATGGTAAACTTTAAAAAAAAAACATGATGATGATGATGACAAAAATTCTCTTTATAATTTATAAAGAACAGGTACATCAAGTTTTTCATATGATTGAGCAAGTGGATAACATGACAATTTGCTTTTCCATATATGAACATTGTCAATCCATTCAAACTGGAAAAATAAAAACAAAAAAGTAAACCAAAATAGATTAATAATAATTTTACCTCTGGTAAATCAATCTCTTGTTTAGCTACAATAGGTTCCGTTTCAGTTGATTTATCAATAATAGGTGGTTGTTCAGTTGATTGAATTGTCTCATAACTTGTTTCAGTGGTTACAGCAACATCTCCTTCATTAATAATTGAAGACGATTCTCCATGAATAATATCTGTTAATTCATCTTTATTTTTGACAGTATTTGTTTCATTAGTTTGCATTTGAAGTGCAAATGAAGATGGACTAACATGAACAGATAATTTACGTCGATAAATTGAACGTGATGATATGTAATGATCATAGAAACGAAGTAAATCATCACGTTTTAATGTTGTTATGATTTCAGCTTCACGTGGAACTAGAAAGCAAACTTTTAATTACAAATATTTTTATAACATTTGTTCTTACGACGATCGAAACAAAATTGATGATTAATTATTTCATTCCAAAATTGATTTCCTTGATCATGCATGTTTTTTGGTAATTCCACTTTTTTAACGACATAACCTTCACATTGTTTTTTAAATAGTTCATCAGACATTGTTGTGATATAATCCTATTTAAAATAATAATTTGTATCATTTTTTCTTTGTTAGATTGTGCATTAGACGTTCTCAAAGACAATTTACAATGGATTTGAAACAGTCGTATACAATATTAGAGATCCTCTAGTTCGAGAAAGTTTATCGTAAAACAGAATTGTCTAGAAGATGATATATAATATTTATTACAGTCTATGATACTGACAGGTTGATGCTTACGATGTTTGCCACCTTTTTATGCAACGAAATACATCACAACTAACAGCTTATCATCACCAAATACGTGTTAACAGTATTTATAGTCCGAACCATTAAAAGTGCGTCTTAAAATTTGATTTAAAAAAATTTTTTTTCAATTTCATGATGATGTATTCTCTTGTTTTTTTATATACTATAGACCGATATGAATGGGTCATATATTTACCATTACAATACGCTAGTGGTCCTCTATCTATACTATTAACTAATATCTTTTGAAATAATATTCTACTCTGTTTATTTTCTTACATACTCTTATCGAATCAATAAATAATTCAATACGTTGATTAATATGATCAAGTTCTCTGGCTGATTGGACAGTAACACTAAAACCTTGTACGTCATATGAACGCCATACTTGTGAATTAATGATGTAACCTAACTGTTCTTTGGTTCGTAATTGATTAAAACAAGGTTGTTTAACTAAATAAGAAAACAATCCAAGTAAAGCATTATTTTCAAGTGTTTCTTGAAAACATTGTAA